GAAAGGAAACTGGCTTTTCCCGAGTCTGCCACAGCCACTGCTACGCAACTACTCTGGAAGCCAGTAGATGTTGGCAGATACTTTAAGAGCTGGCATTACTGGCTGTGTGGATTTAGTGAGATCTATCATTTGTCTGTCCGTCCATCCATCCATGCATCCATGCATCCATGCATCCATGCATCCATGCATCCATCATCTATTGCACTCAATCCACAAAGGGAACCCAAGTTCTGGACAAATTACGCAACAATGGACAATTTTGAACAATGCAGCTTTCCTTATTTTTCTATTTATTTCGTATATTCCAGCACATCTTTGCGGTGGTGGTGCCTGGAGAAGGCTCCCTCCCACCACATGTTTCTGCTTTGTGTAGATCATAGACCTCACAGCAGAGCTGTCGGACGAGCACTTGAAAGGAGACGTCGCCTGTCGGGTGCTGGAAGGGGAACGGGCTGAAAGGCTGCGGGCGTCGAAGGAGGTCAAAGAGCTGCAGGTGTGCAGGGGGCGGGGGTGGGCACAGAGAGACCCGGCAGTGGTCTTCCACCCCCGACACCAAGGAAAAGGGCCTCCACAACCATCTTCCTGCCTGGCGCTCCCCTCACCGCCCCCCCAGCAGTAATCTGGTCCTGCAGCTGTCTGCCTCTGCAAATGCCCTTCTTTCAGTCCTCCCAGGGTTTGTTCATTTAGTTTGCAGTTTCTCTCCACCACTTGACTACCTGGGAGACTTCAAAGTGGTGCCTGAGCGCATCAAATATAAATACTGCCAAGCTCGGAGAATTCAGCCATTTAAAAGCAACAATGGTGTCGAGTAAAGATTGCCTAGACATAAAAAAACCAAAACAGCCATAAAAGAATCCCCTCGCTCTCCATCTTCAGTTTGGAGCAGCTGCTGAAAAATCAGTTGAAGCTGTCCTCCTCTTTCAGCGCTGCTGAAACAGAGTAATGCTGGTTTGAAAAAGAACTCTAAAAGGAGAAGAAGGGCTGACCCATTTCTTTGGGGCGGTAGGTCCGGCATCAGGGCCCTACCACCAAGGAGGCCCCGCCCGAACCTATCCCCTCGTTACAGAGGAAGCGGCGCCAAGATCTCATTTCTCGGTCAGCCACGCAGGGAGCTTCACGGAGGTCTGTTCCACACAACCTGGTACAGCCGTGGCTGACCTGGTAGATTTGGGGCTATACCAGCTGAGCCCCGAGCAATTATGAAGGCGGTTCCGTTTTGCAGCTGGTGACGGTCAGTCTTTCCCTTGATCGTTTCATAGTGGAGTTGATCTCGGCTGGCCTTTGGGAATGCTGCACCCCACTTGGAGGACAATTTCTCCAAATTTCTCTGGGGGAGGAGAAATACGCCAGCGTTTTTCCAAGAGCAGGTCTCCCCTGGACTCTCAGTGCTGCTTCTAAAAAAGCCCCACAGGAGAATGAAGGCCCCGGGGCCCACTGAGATATGATTGACAAGGAAAGGGTGTGGACAGAGAGACCCATAGACTTTTGGTCAATCCCCGCTCAACAGACAGACCAAATGCCGCGCTTCCTCCAGAAGATCTCTGAAATGCTCTTCTCCTTTGAAATAGCTCTGGAAAGCAAATGATCTTTCAGTAGATTGAGGGGAACTGGAGCTCCGTGTTTCCCTGGGAATTCCCATCATCCCTGGGAACTTCATATTTAACAACAGGCAGACTCCTAAGCACTTCTTTTCTTTCAGAGCAAGCAGCACCAACTTCAGAAGCAGCTGGAGACAGCCGAAAAGCAGTTGGAGGAAACGCAACAGCAGCTTCAGCTCCGTGAAACTGGTGCCAACAGCTCTGGGAAAGGTGGGAGGCACCCCCCAGCCCCCAAAGCATGTCAGCAGGATCTGGGGTGGAATCAGCTGCTGTCGATTGATGCTCTTTCCTCCCTCCCTCCCTCCAACCAAAGCTTCCCTCTGACACCCAACTGGCTTTGGCCTCTGAATATGGTGGGGCAACGATCCAAGGACATTCCTGAACTTGCTCCTTGCCTCAGATCTTAATTTGTAGCTTTACTGGAGCAACGGCACCCCCCCTAACCCACTGCTATGCCAGACCGGGGCATCTGACAGTTCTCCCAAGTGACACCTGTCTCTCCCTGTCACTTTGACTCGGGGGAAGCCCCGGGACAAGCGGGGGGATAATCGGGGTGTGTCAGTTTGAGTAAAGCCACGCAGCACCTCTGGCCGCCCCGGAGAATTTCTGCTCCAGATACGTCAGGATGTCTTAGGAAATCTTGTGAGTCGGGCTGAGCGTCACATCCAAGGTTATTGCCAACGTGGCGTGAAAGGCGCTGAGACACATCGGACATGCCTCTGTGCATTCACTAAGGGTCCTCGCTGGTGGGGAAATCCAGCCCGGGGTCAACACCCCAATAGCTCAGTCTGGAGAAGCTCCGTGCAGCCCAGACGCGGGGTGCAGGGTTTCTTTTCGGCTCCGGACTCAGGGTTCCTGGGCTGGTCCTCAGGGAGCAGCCTTCTCCTAACCGCTTTCAGTAAGAGGAGCTCTTTTGGTGGGGAACCAAGCGAGCCCTTTCGACTGTGCTGCTCCCGGGCCAGCTGTTGAAAGCAGTGGGTCCCCGGTCCGGCCTCAGAGGCTTGAGCGCTGCTGGCTGCTAGGGCAGCGGTTCTCAACGTGCGGTCTGGGGACCCTGGGGCTCCATGAAGTCCAATAATTTCTTAGTTTTGATTTCTAATGCAGTAAAGCTCTATAGATATAACCCCCATAAACCAAAACTCTTTGGGGTCCTCGATCACTTTTAAGAATGCAAAGGGGTCCTGAGAACGAAATGCCTGAGAACCGCAGCTCTAGGGGAACGTTTTCGGCACCTCTAATTGCCCAGGAGGGCAGCTCAGGGCCCTGAAACCATCGCCTGCAATGTGCCCCAGCTGCATGTGCGCGAGCAGCCGGCCCTGAAGTTGGGCCTGACAGGCAGGGCACGCGGACACTGATCACCTTGCGCCGACAGGGGACGAGTGGCAGACGCGCCTGGACTGCGCGGAGACCGAGATTGCGTTTCTGCGGAAAAGGATCACGCAGCTGGAAGAAAGGCTGGAGCGGGAGCAGCAGTCCAAAGCGGACCTGGAGCAAAAGGCAGGCCACGGAGAGGGTGTGCGTGTGCATTCGTGCACATGTGAATGCCCGAGGAGTGCTGGCTGGGCGTGGCCGAGTTGAAGCTTCCCCAGTGCGCAGGACGCATTCCCCTTGGAGCCCTCCCTGGGCCTCCCCCCCGCTGCCCGGCTGCCGCCCTTTCGCCTTTCGGCATCTCTGCATGTGCCTTGTGCTAAGCCAGAGTCTGCTTGACCACCGAAAGTGCTAGCCCGGCGCGAAGTCCCTTTGGGCTTCCTGGGTGCACGCCGCAGTGCCCCAGCTCATCCTCCGTGCCAGAGATGTTACATCCAACAAAGCTGGCTTGGGCACAGGGCACCTTCAGAGGGTTTCAAAGCAGTCCTTCGGCGGTGGTGGCGGTGGGAGGGCGCACGGCCCGCACGATGTGGGCTCTCCTGTCCGACTCCTCTCTTCAGGGGGGCATTCCTGCTCTGCAGCTCAGCCAGGTCCAGCAGCTCTACGAGGGTGCCAGGCGGACTGCCCAGCAACTGAAACGGAAGTGCAAGCAGCTGGCCTGTGACTTGGAAGACGCGCGGGTGCTGACGGAGAACCAGCAAAGTCGCAGCCACGAGCTGGAGAAGAAGCAGAAGAAGTAAGACTTTGGCGTGGGGGAAGGACGGGATGGGCCCCCAGGACCTGAAGTCCGTGTTCAGTTTGCCGGAACAAAAGGAAAAAAACCCTGAGGGGCGCAGGAGTTCCCAGGTATTCAGCCCGCGAGTTTTGAATACCTGGAGTCGGTGGCACTAGTAACCGAGGGCGATGCTCGGTTTCCCGTGTGCTGTTTTAGCCCTCGGTTCCTCTCTTGTCGGTAGAGCAGCCAGTTTGGGGATCCAGGGCTGGGGGTCACCCTCAGCCCACCAGCTCCGGGTGCCGGCGCCTGCCAGCGCAGATCCACCGTAAGGCCGCGTTTCCTCGGCAGGTTCGACATGCAGTTGGCTCAGGCCCTGGGGGAGTCGGCCTTTGAGAAGAGCCTTCGTGAGAAAGTGGCGCAGGAGAACACCGGCCTCCAGTTCCGGCTGGGGAGGCTGCAGCAGAGCCTCGAGGTAAGGCCCGGGTGGGCGCGGTGGAGGAGGGGCCGCACCCATGGCGCCTCTGCCTGGGATTCGGAAGCGGGGCTCGAGAGGCTGGCTTTCCGAGGGCGCTTCTCCAGAAGGGCGGACGGGGGCGTGCCCACTTTCCTGCTCTCTCCCGGCTCCCTGTAGCAAAAAGAGTCGGAAAGCGACGGCCTCAGCCGACAGGTCGCGATTCTGAGCTCCCAAGTGGAGGAGCTCAGCTCCTCTGCCAGCCTGGACGCCGGCGCCACGGCTGCTCTGCAGAAGAAGCTCTGGGATCTCGAATCCAGAACCACGGAGCAGCAACAGGAGCTGAGCCACCAGGCGAGCACTGTCGAGCAGCTGGAGCAGGCGAGGCTTTGGCTGCCTGTCTGGCATGGCAGCTGGGGACGTGGGGTTAACCCCACGTAGCCAACCGGGGGGACCCCTGGGGGAGGGGGAGGCCCACTGCCAAACGTGCTTCCTGCTCGTCCTGCTTTTTCCCCTCCAGCTTCACCTGAGACTCGAACTGGAAATGGAGAGGGTGAAGCAGATTCACCAGAAGGAGCTGGAAGACAAGGAGGAAGAGCTGGAGGACACCCGCAAGTCCTGCCAGAAGAGGGTATGGCCCGCCTGAATGGGGGGTGGCAGGGTGGGGGGAGGTGTGTCTGCCCGTCCGGGAGCCCCCTCCCAGCCCACGAGGCCCCCTCATTTCTCCCCTTTGCTCGGCCGCAGCTTCGCCAGCTGGAGATGCAATGCGAACAGGAGTGTGAAGAGAAGCAGGCAATCCTGCGCGAGAAGCGGGACTTGGAGGGCCTCGTTGCAACGCTCTGCGAGCAGGTGAGGGAAGAACAGCCACCCGGCATGCAGGAGGGCCCGCCCAGCTCTGGGCCTTTCCTGCTCATGGCAAACCTAGGGCAGAGGCAACCAGGGGGCGCCCCAGAGGCTCCAAACCCTGCAGGCAAACTGCAAAAAGGCACGGAACAACTGCTGGTATGGATGGCCTCTGGAGTCCCCTTTTTGCCATGTTGCTGAAGACCCTCCCTTACCTAAAAGAGAATTAACCTCAGTGTTGCTCTTGATGGGCTCAGTTTTCTCCTGGATAGGGTGGTTGAGGCCTTTGCTTAAGAAAGGGGAGGCACCCGTTCTTTGCATTTGGGAACGCCGCATGAAGGCCCGAATGCAAGGCCCCTGAACTCCCCGCTTCCTTCAGATCGGCCACCGGGACTTTGACGTGGAGAAGCGACTCCGGCGTGACCTGAAAAGGACACATGCCTTGCTGGCGGATGTCCAGCTGCTGCTGGAGAGCTCTGGGGCAGATCCGTGTCTGTCCGGAAGTCCGGAGGAGTGGGCCAAGCTTCGCAGCCAGGTGAGGAGTGGGGCTTCCGGGGAAGGTAGCCCGAGGGCCTCTGCGAGAGGCAGCTGGGCATCTCTTGGCCTTCACGTGGGGCCCATTGGACTCTCCCTCAACACGGAGGCATGTCTCCCCATTGTTCGATGTGGGGTGAAACTGAGCAGGGAGCTCACCAGAATCAGGGGTTAGGTGGCCCTAGGCAGTTCCCTCCTGGAACTGGTGGCAGGGGATCTAAAATGGTGCCCAGCCATGGATGCGTCGTCCTCCTCTTCCTCCTCGGAATTGCCTCACCACCTTTAGAGCCCTGTAGCTCCACGGCCATGCCCACGCCCGGCAGCCACGAGTTCCCAACATTAATCCCCCATTGTTGGAAGCTTTGTCCTGGGTCTGCCCTGATGTGCTCCACGTCAAGCTCATGAATCGATCCTAAACTTGAATTACAGGCTGCACCCTGTGCAGAGATATTCTTCCTTATAGCGTGGCAAATGAAGGGGAGGTTTGGGTCAGAAGTTCTTTGCTGAAAATGGGAACTGAGCTTCTGAACCTGTTACTGTTCATTCCCTCACTCGCCTTTTAAAGTGTCTTTGGTGTAGAGAGGAATCTTTCTCAGGAAGTGTTTAGAATTTAATTAAGGCAATTAGTTAAATAGGTTGTGTTCACTGATGTCTGTCTAGCTGGTTGTAATTACCAAGCTTTGCTTTCAGCATCTGTTCTTGGGAAAAAATGGCATTTCTGGAGGGGCTGGGTGCGTTGCAGCCCTCTGGGCGGGCTGTGGAAAGCTGAGGCTGGGGGGAGAATTTGGCTAAGGAAAGGCACCTCCAAACTGCCTTGGGGGCCCATCAGCTGGGTGGGTGATGGTTTTGTTGGAACTCTTCGCAGTCTTGGAAATTCTTCCCCAGCACTGGAGCAAATGTGGCTGTCTTTGGGACGGAGGGCGTCTCACCTGGACACGCCAAAAACCTGTGCCCGGTTTGGACGCAGCTGCAGCAGAGTGGAGCGGAGTGGGGGGGTGGGGAGAGAAGGTGAAAGAAGGGCAGTCCGCAGCTGCCCCAGATCAGTCTTGGAAGGAAGGTGCGTCTGATCCCCGAAAGAGAGGGCGGCGTGACTGGAGGGGGGGCCAGGAAGAGTAATTCTAATTTAGCTGCACAAGCATTCCGGAGCCATTCAATAAATAACCCCCCTTGCTTTTTCCATCGAAAACACACCATTCTGGAGATGCGAGCAATTACAGCTAGCGCAGACGTTTATAATTGGGATAATAATTCTGTGTAAACAGCATCTGTGAACTGCAGATGTTTCTACCTGGTCTAACAGAAGCGGGAGGGGAATTGCAAATCCCTGTCAGGGCTGTGGCCCTCCTGCCCTTCAGGAACTAAAGAGATGCTGCACTTTGCATGGGGGAGCACTCCGGTTTCTGCGCAGAAAAGCAGGGGGGCGGAGAGAGCTGTTGGAATACGTGTTACCTTTTCCTCTGCCTGAGGCTCTTCCCTCAGTTTGGTTTCTGATCCGTGTCTGGGGGGGAGCAATCTGAAATATATTTCTCCTCCTTTGCAGTCCAAGGTGGGCAGCCAATCTGGTCCGAGTCTCACGGACGGCTGGCTGGGTTTTCAGCGTTGCGCACTTGGCTCCCTTTCCGGAGGGCCCTGAACTTAGTGCTCTCGGCTGCTCGTGTCCCGCTCTTCTTCCGAACGCTCTCAGGGCTACCTTGTGCTATGGCGTGTTTCTTCTCCGTGGGTGTCACTGCCACGCAGTTGGCACAGCTAAATACGGGAGGGCCAGCAGGGCAGCTGGCAATAGACTGCTCTTGCTGTGAGTTTGTCTCCTGGGTCTTATCCTGGCTGGAGGCCGTCACCCAGGCCTCGGGCTTGCAAAGTCCTGAAGAACACGGGAGTCCTATGTCGGATGGAGTCCCATGCGCTCTCCTTCTGACAGGTCCCTTTAGATTCCCGCTGGTGGGTGTGGCAGAGATAGCCCGTCCTCCTTTGTCCACATGGGGACTAGAGGTACACTGCTTCTGGGTGTGGAGGGTCCATTTATTTCTTATGTCGATGCATGTATCGCTCAGTGCTTCCTGACAGATTGCATGCCTTGTTCGGCAACTGCAGCAACGAATCCTAACGGATTCAAAAGCGGGAGTGTGAGAGAGAGAGAGAGAGAGAGAGAGAGGGAATGCCTGCCAGGGGAGGTCTTGCTGTTACGGTCTCACCTTGCTGATGTTCCGGGTCGTCCCTTTTTCGCTCCATTTTTAAGCAAGCCGAGAGGGAGATCTCGGTTCTGCCTTTGCAGGTGTTACGACACATTTGAAGTGAATCCCAGCCTGTCTCCTGGGTCCTTTTTGGGGTATTGAAAGCAGGTGATGTTCACTGGCTCGCAGGTTGGGTTTAATTAGGCAGTTTGTTGTGGTTTGACACAGACCGCGGTGAAACAAACACCTGGCTGGTTTTCTTAGAAGAATTGGCAGCCAGCTTCACAAACCTGTTGTGGCGAGCGGTGGGCTTGGGGAGAACCAACCTGAGCTGGAAAAGAAACTGGGGTGCAGAAGGCGTGAGGCGATGTGTGTCTGCCAGTGGCCAAGTCTGCTCTGGGGTGGGGGGCAGCTCCTTGCGTGTGAGTGCCCCAGTGCACGCATGCATGGGGCAGGGCCTTCCCCGGTCCCCTTGGGCCCCAGGAACCTGAACGCCTCCAAGACTACGTCTTTCTGGGCATCTTTAAGGGCACAGAGCCCCCTGCAGCTTCTTCGGCGGCCTCTGGAAACGGGTATAAATCAGTGATTATGCGTCCCCAATGGAAATGTGCCACGGTTTCAGCCTTCGATTGCCCCCTTCGATCTCCAGGTGCTGATAATGGCACATCAGGCCCCGTAGCAGCAGTGCAGGGGGATAAACCAGGAATGGCCAAGAAGGCGCTGCGCTCGATGGCCGGCCTCCTCCCCAGGGGCACAGGGGCTCTCGGAAGGTGGGTGTCTTCGGCTACCTCTGAATCCAGGCTGTAGAGGCGACCCTGCCAATCGACAGGAGGGCATGCGTGGGGGCGCACCAGCTCCTGGCTTTCAAAGGCAATGTCTCCCCAGGTGGGGTGGGGGGGCTCAGGCCAAAGGAGGGCCATTCTTGCCAGAAACCAGCAAGAAGAAACTCAGAGGAAGGGGGACCGTCAGGGAGGAGCAGGCCAGGAATGGGCAGTTGGGAGCAACGGGCGCTGCCCCTCCCTGGAATTGGCAGGCGTTCCTTTGGGGATCTGGGCAGAACCTGGCCAGCGAGCCATGGAGAAGGAAGGTGATGCTGGAAGGATGGAGGCGCAAGCAGCCCCTTGGGAGGCTCGCGTGGTTCTTGGTGTAAGAGTGGAATGGATTCCAGGGGCTTCTCTGTGGAATTCTCTTCTCGCTTCCACCATCCCCAGGAGGATTTAAGGAGTGGGGTGGCTGGAGGGTGAGAAACTGGAGGAAATTCCCCATGGGGAGGATTAAAAACCAGCCCCAAAGGCACATTCCTTACATTCACCAGAAATGGAGCCTTTTTAGAAGGGAGCCTGGTAAGCATTTAAAAGAGGCATGGAACAGATGGCAGAACACTGCCAACTTAACGCATTTGATCTGTTCATACATTATGTATCTTTTTTGATGGGAATTTCAGTTTGTTTGCTCCCAAGTGGGAAAAATTTGTTATGCAGATTTAAAGAAAAAAAAAGGAGGAAAGGAGGAAACAGAAGTATGACAAATCAAAGGGTGGGAGGGGAACTAACCCTTTCAGGAGAGGCAGTCAGAAGCGGACGGACGTTAACAGGTCTGGGGATTATAATCTGAATTACAAGTACAGAAGGAGAGCGCTCTGGATTGTTCCAAATCTGTTTACCCTCACAAATTTGGACAAATAAGGCTGGAAACGGGATGTGGCAGACCAAGATCTTTAAGCAAGACACAGAGGGCTGGGAGGATATTGTCGTGGCCATCAAACGAAGCCTGTCCTTGAATTAAAGGGTAACGGTGCATTCTGGATAGTGGCGGGTGACTGGAAGAGGCTGCTTCAAACGGGCTGGCGGTACGGCTGTTGAGCATGGCTCACCCGAACGTAGAAAGGGCCACTGTTTTCATTCCAGTGGCAGCTTCCTTTGGGAAAGACTCTGGGAGGGCTGCAGACGTTTCTCCAGGCTGCCCTCAACTTCCGAAATGGGGGGAGACGGACGGATAGGACAGCTGGCTTGGCAAATAAGGCTTAGGGGGCTTCTTCTGCATTTAGCGCCTGTCGCCACCCTCTTGGTCAGCTGTGGGCTGCACAGAGCCCTCTTTGCGCCCTGTCTGGGATCGGCTCTGCCTCATTTTCTCTGAGGGAGCCTGCAGAGAAAGGTCCTGGCCGTTTGACTGCCGTGCAGCTGAACTGCAAGGCAGCACAACCGAGTTCGCCTGGGGCTCCCTTCAGGCTTGCAAAATGCCTGTGTCTTCAGAAGGGAGGGGTGGACTTGCAAGTTCCTTGCAGAACCCTCTGACCCAAGAAGTGGGTCGCGCAGCAGGGAGCTCTTTGCTTGCTGCTCAGGGCCAAGTTCCTCCTTTGCAGAATTGTCTGCTGCTGTTTCAATCCCTGTTATTTAATATCGCCTAAAGCTTCCCCCCCATCCCCGGGTGGGAGACTTTAATTATCGTCTCCAAAGCGTTCTGCATAAAAAGCCAAAGCTGGTTTCAGGGCACAGAAAAAGAAGGGCAACTCCTTGGGGTGCGCTGAAGCTTCCAGACCCTCCCCTGTGGACCTGGCTTTTTCCATCAGCGAAGCCGACACCGGCAGGCAAAGGCCGTGTGCGAGCAGGATGGCTCCGTCTGGAAGGTCCTGTGTTTCGGTGCGACTGGAGGGGCCCGGAGGGGGTCCGGCTTCTGCCCCTTAACCTGGGAACGATCAGTCTCAAGGCCCGTTTGAGCACAGCCCTGGCTGGCTTCGTCCGCAGTTGAGGCGCTCCAGCAGTGCTTTTCCACAGAGCGTTTTCTGGCTGAGCTCTGTGGTGTGAAGGGAGAGAAACATGCCCAGGGGGCCAGGCCAAAGACTGATTGGGGGGCTTTCAGATAAAGCCCCAAGGGGATCTACCCAGCAGCCCACCCTTAGGGTCTCCAGTATAAGGTCCAGACTAGGTGGGTCAGGCATTGCCCCCTCCCAGGGGCCAAGGAAGCCATGGAGGTGCAGGATCTGATGACCTTCAGGAGGCCAACCGTAGCTGCTGAGTCCGAGCTGCCTCAGAGAGCTGGGCTGGGGCTGTACGTGAGCTGCAATGAACGAACACGAAACAACACGGGCTCAGCTGAACGGGCATGTTGGGGAAGACGAAGTGCTGGGAAGCCCCATGTGGGAATAGGAGGAGGAGGAGGAACCGGGCGAGGAGGAGGGGACTTCGGGCTGCCCAGCCAGACCTCTGCAGATGTGGCAAGGGGGTTGTTCGAGGGCAGAAGGGCCCTTGCCCTTGCCCTTGCAGATGGCCATCCTGGGCTTGTACCCAGCGGTTGCAGTCGACGCCGTTCAAGAAACAATCGTTTATAAACTCTGTCTTGTGAATTGCTTTAATCTCTGCAAATTGGGGGGGATTCACCTCATTGGCAAATTAATGAGCCCAGCTCTTCAGCTCAACTGCTATGAAAGAAGTTGCGCTGTTGCTGCTGGAGCATGGCCCCATTTCTCCTCTTCCTAGGTGCTCCCACCCAGGTAGGAAGGGGGAGGAGGAGGAGGAAGCCCCCCCCCCCAAGGTTCCCTTGCACTGGTGGCTAGTGCTGGATTTAGCTATGTGGAAGTGAGGGGAAAAGCAGCAGCAGCAGCAGAGTGTCCAGGGGGTTGCTTAAAAAGAAGAGGGTCAAACAAGGTCAGCCAATGTGCCTTTCCTCCCTGCCTGGAGGGGCTGACCCTTTCTGCTCTTGGCAGTGGGAAGAGAGCGCAGCCAGATGTGCCGAAGCCCAGGAGTTGCAGAAGACGCTGTCGCTCGAGGTGGAGAATTTGCATTCGGAGCTGGAGACCGCCACCAGGAACAAAAACTTGGTACAGAACTGGAGAATTGCCTCTCGGCCCAAATGCACCCCACCCCCCCGCCACTAACACGAAGCCCAGATTATAGGCGCTGTTCTGTGTTGCTGCAGGTCGACGAACAGCTGTACCAGCTCCAGCATGAGAAAGCCGATCTGCTGAAGCGCATTGAGGAGGACCAGGAAGATCTGAACGAGCTGATGGCGAAGCACAAGGCGTTGATTGCACAGGTGAAGCAGGCGGGGTGGAGGACCCCCTCCCTACCCGCAACAGGCCTTGCCTTACTGGGGTGGTTGGGCACACTCACTGATGGGTACAGAGAGGGTGTGCCTGGTCTGCTAGCCAGAGAGTGGCCTTGCACCGTTCGTTCCACTGTCCTCTTTGCGGAGGACTGCAAGGTCACTGCTGGGGGGCCCTATAAGAGCTGGCCTCCCCTCCTGCTGACCACCTTTCCTTTTCTGAGATTGCTGTTGTAATTAAACAAACCACACTACGGGAAACTTATGCATTTCCAAGGCCCCACCCTCATTCTCCAAAGCCAGAACCCTGCCCGGATCACCCAGCGAGTAGCGCCCACCTGCTCAGATAAGCTAACAGGAAACATCCTGGTGGGAATGAGGATTGAGCAGAGCAACGTTGCCTGCCAACTTTCTGGTAAATAGGCATGTGGTGGCTGGCCATGCCCGCTGGGACAGCCACGTTGTGAGGGTACCCGCAAAACACATGTTCAGAAAGACTGCCCGCCTTGCCATAGGCCGACCAGCACCTCCTCCTTGCCTCAGGGTTCCTACCTGTGATCTTTTCGCCCATCTCCGCCTTCCACCTGCAACGGCTTAGAGACAACGCCTTTCTGTTTTCTTCATTTCTGTAGTCAGCGACAGACATTGCCCAAATCCGAGAACTGCAGGTGCATCAGGAGGAAGCGAAGAGGGAGAAGCACGCCCTGCAGGAGAAAGTAAGAGCGGGAAAGCTGGCGTGGGGCAGGAGGGGAGCTGGCTGGGGATACGATGGCCAGGCCTGCCCGTGATGGAGCTGAACGTGTAGGTGGGGGAGAGGCAGGAGCGCCCCGTCCCACTCACCTGCATTATGCTTTACGGGTTGTTCTAACGTTCAATGCAAGACAGCCCCATCCCGCCCCCCCAGCCGGACCACCCATGTTTTGGGGGACTTGAGCAAACTGCCGGGGCGGGGGTCAACGTCCTCTTCTCCACAAACAGCTGCAGGCAGCGCAGGCCCGGTTGTCCTACTTGGAGCAAGCCATGGTGGAACGGTCCATCGTCAGCCGCCAGGAGGCCTTGATCTGCGACCTGGAGAACAAGATGGAGTTCCAGAGCGTTCAGATCAAGAGGTTCGAGGTATGGCGATGGCTGTCGTCGGCTCCGCAGCCTGGGGAGGGGGAGGAGGGCAGGATCCCCGGCCAGAGTGAGCACCCCGGATCGCCGGCACCGCACGCTTCTTTCCGTGTGAGTGGAGATACGCCTGTCGGTGAGAACCGGGCGGGCAGCAGGCGGAGGCCTTGAGCAGCGGGCGCTGCTTTTATTGCACGCTTTGTCCCTGAGGAAATGCGTTCTGTGCACAGGCAGCCTGAGCCTTGCTCCGGCAACTCTCCCGCAGCCAGGGTGGCCAGGGGGCCTTCAGCCCACTGCATCTTCTCAGCCCTGCCCACCCTGTGGGATGTTACGAGGATGAGCGTGCGAGTGCGCGCACCCGGAAGGCACCTTGGGCAGGGGACGGAGGGAGCCATCATTCCTGCACAGGCGTGGCTCAGCTCCACGCGGGCGGCCGGCCGGCCTCTCCCTCCCTGCAGGTGCTGGTGCTCCGTCTCCGAGACAGCGTGATCAAGGTGGGAGAGGAGCTGGAGAGGGCGAAGGAGAGTGAAGCGCGCGAGCGGGAGAACGCCCACTACTACCGGCTGCGGCTGGAGGAAATGAAGGCCGACATGAGCGAGCTGGCGCAGAGGGAGCTGGAGGCCAGTCGCAAGCGGGTGGATCTGGTAAGGGCCGTGCTCGGGAGGGCTGGCCCCCGGCCCGCGAACGCACGGCTTGTGCGGTCTTTCAAGCACCCCGAAGGGCAGAAAAAGCCGGTTTGAAAATCCCTTTTGTGGCTGGGTAAGGTGGTATGAAACACTGTTAAGACCAAAGCAGGTGGAAATCTTTTAGTTTTATAGATAAAATATGTTGATGCTGCCTTGCACCATAGGTCCCAGGACAGTTTATAGCACAGACGTCTTACAACAAGTGCGTTTGTGTACCTGAGTGCTGCAGACCCATTTTTCTTAGCAAGCAAATACATAAATTGTGGTTTGCACCTGTTGCGCTGGGCTGACTTCTTCCCGGGTGAACGGGGCCAGATCCCGAGGCCCGTCACGCGAGGCCCCTCCTGAGAAGCTGGCAGCGGAAGGGCCTTCCTGCCAGAGGGAACCCCACCTCTCCGGCTCCCAGGCTCAGCTCAGCCTCCTTGAGGGCCTCTTCTGTCCAGCGCAAGACTGGGGGGGTTCCAGTGGCTTGGCGCCCTCCTTGCTGCGGTAACCGCTCAGTTTGCAGGTGCAAGGGAATTCCTAGGTAAATGTATGTGCGGAGGAAATGCAGGGAGCAGCATCATGTCTACTCTTGGGTAGGTCCAGGGGGGGCAGGGAGGGTTCTGAATCCTTACGCGAGAGTTGGTGGGAAGCTGCCCGCACATCGTCCTGGTCTGTGCACCGATTGAAGGACTGGAGAACAGCTGAGGAAAACAGCAACAGCCGTAGCGCCAACCTGTGATTAAGATCCAACCCCTCTGTTTGCCTCAAGAGCGCAGCGGTGGAGCTGCAGAGAGAAGGGGGGGATGCTGAAGGTTACGCTAGGACATGCCAAGAGAAATTCTCTCGTTTATCCTAGGCCCCTGGGGGAGATATTAAAAGGGAACAAAAATTAACAAAGCAAAGAATCCGAGCGAGCAAGAAATAAACAAACAGCAGAGTCGTCCCCCCCCTTCCCGCCTTGTGGGCTGCAGCGCTGCTGCCACTGGGCCTTCCTGACAGCAGACATGCTTCCTAATTGCAGGAGCTGTTATCTCAACGCCCTTCGCCGGGAAGCCTGGTGCTTTCCTGCTTTCCTTCTCGCCGTTCGCGAAAGCCGTTCTCACTTTGCCTGCCTTAATCGCTTCTCAGCTTTGGCTGCTAACTCAACGGAGGGAA